TTTTTTTTGTGAAAGCCCATAGTAATTTTGACTGAATTATTATTCTTATTATTATTCTTATTATTATTCTTATTATTATTATTATCCCTTGGTCTCCAGGATTCTTGAGGTGTGGAGCATGCAAAAGCCCTTACTGTAGTCCTGCCTGCCAGAGGGAAGACTTCTCTGAGCACAAGGTTCAGTGTAAGACAATCAGGTAAGATCTTCTGACAGTAGACTGGTCTAAATACAAGCAGCAGTGTAAGACAATCAGGTAAGATCTTCTGGCAGCAGAAATGAGAGAAAATGTCTCTTTTTGAACCTATTCACTAGTTAACCAATGCTTAATTGGAATGTAACCATGCAGGTGCTGCAGTGGAGGTGATTTGTGTATAGAAGAACAGCGTGGAGAAGCTATGCCAAATATGTAAACTGTTTTTGATTGATTTTAGGGAAACTGCAGAATTAGCGGCACGGTTTGAAGTTAGCGTTGATGATGAAATGCAGGTAAGATAAAAAACCTGACAAAGAAATGTCTTTGATTTTTTTTCCTAAAAGATTACAAGTCTTTTGGCAAATTTGCAATTAATTTAGAGTAGGCCTGGGGTGAAAAATATCTGGAATTTAGTTGTTTCTGTTACAAACAGACATTAAAGGAATCCTTTTGTGCAGCAGCCCCTGGAGAAATTGCCTTAATTTCTTGTGCACACTGCCACAGTGATCAGGGGGGTTAAACTCCCAAGAAGAATCTGTTAATATTTGTCTCTATCACACTCAGTGCATTGAAAATAATATTTGTACCAAGTTACTACATATATCTTTTCTGTGAGAGAGGCAAAATGTCAGGGTTTTTAATGAACTCAACATACTTTCATCTTGGTAGTCAACTTGTTGATTGCCCTGCAATCTAATATAGACAACCTAAGAAGTGTACAGACATTACTAGTAAAGGTGTTAGGGTGCATTCCCAGAGATACAGATCGATCCAGAGATTAAGATTTAGAACGACCTAACTCCTTGGGGGTTCACGCTAAATTGCAGTCAGCCAAGCGCACCATAGTTAATTACCCCCTTACAGCTTTTAGTAGGTGGGACAGACGCAGTAATCTAGTGAGACTCCCCACAGGGATAGATCGATCTAAATTCTATGGGAATGGGGTCTTAGACTTGTTAAAATCTGTTAACAGTTAGTTTAGAAGGGTCATTTCCAAACTGACTCTGCTTTGTTTTCTTATCAGATGATGAGATCTGGGACTGGGTTAGCTTACTAAAGATACAGGATGAAGCCTGGACTTATACTGTCTGTTCATTATGTGATGTTTCTTAATGTGACTCCAGTCTGTGTTTTGTTTAAGTCCTACTTGTAGCTTAGGTTTTAAGCCTGGACTTATACTGTCTGTTCATTATGTGATGTTTCTTAATGTGACTCCAGTCTGTGTTTTGTTTAATTCTTACTTGTAGCTTAGGTTTTAATCTCTGTTATTTCAGATGATGATTTGGCTATTACAAATGTCAAGTTGAAATCACCAAGGCATTCTTTCCATATGTAATTCATTCCCCCTGCACACATTATAAAGTCTTATTAGATGTAAGGCTCGCCATTGCTTCACATAAACAATTAACTTCCTGTAAACTAAGATATAGACACGTGTCTGCCAGCATCTCTACTTGACTAGGGCTTCTCTTCACACACTTGCCTGTCTTGATTTCAGTATTTAGTGGGAGAATTACCACAGGTTTCTCTTGGTGATCCTACTGCCAGGGTCAAGTCACCTCTCAAGAGTATGACTGAGAGTTCTGACACCCTTCCACAGAGAGCTGAGAGATCTGACCCCCTTCCACAGAGAGCTGAGAGGTCTGACACCCTTTCACAGAGAGCTGAGAGATCTGACCCCCCTCCAAGCACCAGGGGTGGGCCAGAGAAATACATGAGTGCCAAAATGACCAGAGTGAGCCTCCCACTCCAGAAGAAATGCCAAGTAAGTAAGGGTTAAGTTCAGTCTTTGACCCAAGAATTTTTCTATCTTAGGTTTGGTAAAGATGGGGAATTTGATATGATACATGGTAATCCATAGGCTTACTTTACTAATCCAGCTGATAAAAGATGTTTGAAATGTGTTTACATATAGTGTACTGCCTTCTTTGAGACTTAGTTCTGTTCACCAATATAATTTCCAGACTTGTTAATTAATTTTAATGAAGTCTTTTGCATGTGCACTTGACTCATTTTATGGTCTTACGTGTAATTATATAATGCAAGTGGACATGTGCATTTTAAGTAATAAAGATTAGTATGCACCATGAAATAGTGCAGCATTCCATTTAGATAAGGAATTTGTATATAAGCAGTATTATCTGGGAGTTCAGAGAGAGCAGTTTGAGAGAGAGACCACGTAGGAGAGCTAAGAAGACAGATTCGAGCCATGGGAGATGGTTCAGAAGTTAGAGATTTCACATAGATCATGTAGTTAGCAGGCATCATCAAATAAACTGTTAAACTGGTCATTATGTGTCCTTGGGTTTTCTTTGAGCAACTAACATAAATCTGACACGAACCATGGAATCTTTAGATTGTGTTATCTGCTAAGTAAGTCGAAAATGTATTTCGAGCCTACGCTTCAGTTAGGCATACTAGAATTAGGAGATTTCATTACATAAGTATAAAAATATCTTACAACTTCCTACACTGAGATGTAGACCAGAGTGTCCAGGCAGATTTTTTTATCAGTCAAGGTTAAAATTGAAATCTTAATTTCAACTTGAAATTCAGACCTTGCCTAGGTAGATTTTAAACCTGCCTTTGGGAGATTGAGATTTCAGTATTGCTCTGTCACATTTAAAATCTGCCTGCAACATATCTAAGAAGCTCTCACCATGGAAGATGGTTATCTTATTATCATCCTTTTTGATGCTCTTTGTTTTTTAATAGGTGAAAATCATAGATCTCAGCAGTCCCTCTGACCTGTGTGTGATATTCCCAGACAGTGTTCCCCAACTTGTCAAACTAATACAGGACATGAAGGAGGTATGTCACTGCAGCATTATGGGACACATTCACAACAAACTTGATCCGCGGACTAACAGATTTGTAGGGAATCTATTAAGTGTTTATTAGGGGTTTATGCAACAAGCTTTCAAGTGGTTCGGCCATATTTAACAGTTAGTCTGCAGATCAATTTTGTTGTGAATACAACCATATTGCACTAATTCTATCCCTTATTTATCAACAGTTGACATGAGTTCTTTTGTTTTCAATCAATAATTGGTATGTAGAACAATTTATTGGCCGTTGTATAATATCAATTTGATGTATGAAGTATCTTAGATATCAGTGAAATATGATGTTAAGTTTAATATGCAGTTTAGGTGCGGCTGGAGATGCTGCCTATTGATTTAATCATGTGAAGTCTTGTGTTATCTTGTAGTATTACAGTGGTACCACTAACATTGGTCCGGGTGCCTATGTACCATCAGTGGGTGAGGTATGTGCTGTCCAGTATGCAGTGGACAGTGGTTGGTACCGGGCAATGGTGGAGGAGATCACACTAAATGGCCAGGTGAGGGTGAGATATCAAGACTATGGCAATGTGGAGGAGAGACCAGTGATGTATACCAGGAAACTGCTGCCAGAGTTCACACAGCTGCCACTACAGGTACTGTAGGAGGAGCCACTGGTGGCCCTTCATCTTCTTGTCACTTTTATTGAGATTGACATCAAAATTCAGGAATTATTCGGTTCATTGTATTAGAGTGATAGCTTCACCAGGTGAATTTGTGGTTACAGGTGTTAAATGGTGCAGTTGTTTACGATGAGAAGTTCTTATTGATTTTTGTGTCCTGTTTGCAGGGTATGCGTTGCTGTATAGCTAATGTAGCGCCAGTCCAAGGAAGTGACTGGAGTGACCATGTGACCAGTGAGCTGAAAACAGTTGTAGACAGTCTGGGAGGGAAGTTTGACGTCGTTTGTGAACAAGTTGTTAATGGAATAAGTCACATACAGCTGCTGACAGAGGAAGGAGGTGAGGGGTTTGGTGGGCACAGGAGTTGAGAATCTCTACTGAAACTTACGTGATTTGTTTTCTTGATTTAACTGATTTTGTCCTTTGCTATGAAACCATTTGATTTTACTTTCCTTGATTACTGTAAAGACAGCAGGAGACTTAAATGGCTCCTGACAAATTTCAACTGCAATTCAGCATTTCTAGTTGCTTTCAAAACATGTTTATTGACATGAAGTTAACTTTAAGTCCTCTTGGAATTTGCTCTGGTAAATGTAATCATGTCATTTTGTTCTTTATTGATGAAGTACGGCAGTGAGTATATTTGCTCGCAAAAGTAGTCTAACAGACAGGACCTCGCATTAAAAACTGTTAATATTGCTCATTGTATATAGGAAATGTTGGAGAGGCCTTGATCTACCAGAATATGGCAAGACAGTCTTCAGAGGAAGTGTTGTATGATGCTGCCCTGGCAACTTCCTCAGCAGAGACTGAACAGAATATGGCAAGGCAGTCTTCAGAGGAAGTGTATGCTGCTGCCATGGCAACTTCCTCAGTAGAGACTGAACAAAATATGGCAAGGCAGTCTCCAGAAGTGCCGTATGCTGCCCAGAAGACAACCCTCTCTGTGGAATCTGAACAGTGGGGACAGTCACCAAACAGGTAACCCTGACAGTGCATGTATCTGCTTTATTGATATA